GTTTACGTTTAACTCGTGTATGTGATATACCAGATCTTTAAAATTGAAAATATCCCTTGACTTGTTATATTATAAAACCACCATTGGTAAAGAAGAATCATGCTGTTAGCCCATATGTATGGGATCTCATTGATCCACGTCTTAATAGTTCATACATCGATTGTTTTTATTCGTTCTAAAATATATACCTATTGTAAAAAAAAAAAAAATGTTTGAATATTTGCAACTAATTTCTGAAGTATGGGCGGGTGGTAGATTGATGAAAAATACACATGGTATAATAATATTATTCAAAAACCTAAAGAACTCGTAATATTATTAAATCAACGATTATAGAGATATTTGTAGCAATCTTTAATCGCCATTTTAAAAATATACTATTATTGTTGTGTGCACTAATGTAGCATAGTCATCCAAGTTGAAAGGAAAAAAATAAACAAGAACATTTTATGACATTTATAGGTACAGTATATATTATATTATCTTCTTGTTTTGAGGTTTGATTTTGCAGGTATCGCGAACAGTAATATTATATCGTGTGTCGAGTGCTCGGCGTTGTTTCTATTTACATCTATTTAAAGCACACATCATTCGGCGTTATGATATAGAAATATTGCCATATTATACAGGGTGATTTACAAAGCATGCTTACCTCCAATTTTTTTCTTTCTAATCTATTCAAATTATGATTTTTGTTAATTTTTAAATGTACTTTAAGACTATATATCTATACTTCCAAATTTCTGTGAATTTTACACTACTTAAGGAGTATTCTGTGATACAAACTTCGATTTTTCAAATGAGAACCCACTTTTTTACTGCACATTATAAGTGGATACATTTTTTTAAAAATTTTGATGTTGGTACTTAATTCAAAATTAGAACAAGACGTCTTTCAGTTATTAAAATGTTATATATAAAAGACTAACATGGTTTACAAAATAAAAGTATGTTATTCACATACAATGTCGTGTTAAATAACTAACAAATTTAATTACTGACCTTGACGCGTCCCGAGCAAAACGTTTGATCAAACACCTTTGCGCGGAGCCGCGCCGCGGTAAGCAACCCCATCGACGACCGACGCCAGGCGCGCGACCCGCGCCTGGAACGCGCCGACCGTCAGCGAACGGTGAAGTGCGCTTTTTCCGACACCGTCGACCACCCGAACCACACACACGTTCCGTGTATTTTCGCTACCGGTTCACCATACATATATTAAATAAGCTCTTTTGTTTTTAATAATAAAGACTTAGTTTACACCACAGTGCGTCGTTTGTTTGTTTCTCTTTGTTAATACTTTGTCTACTATCCCGTCTGTTGTTTCGACCCGACTATCTCCGTCGGTCACCACCATCACCTCACAACACCACGCGGCTCAATAGAAGTCCGCGTCAACTGGCTCCCCGGCGGGGAATCGAACCCCGGTCTCCCGCGTGACAGGCGGGGATACTTACCACTATACTACCGAGCGACTGGCGGCTACCACCCCTCAACCCGAGGATATGGAAATATCCCCGGAGGAGGAGGCACAGCTGTTAGAAGGTGCGGGCACACACCTGGCTGACCACGAGGACATGGACGTCAGTCAACTATTCTTTAGCCCCCCAACATCACCCAACCACGACTAGACACCGCCAGGGCCACGTCCGCTGAACACAGCCGGAAAACGTGCCCGCGGACAAGTGTCTACTCCCACCACCCTCCACTCATGAACCTCCACAACCACCAACCACACCCTGAACAAACCACAACACCGGTAACGGCCGGAACACCAACGCCGTTGGCGGTTTGGGGGGGAGTATGACGCGGTCCCGCGCAAAATCTGTTTGAATTCAAACAGCCTTTGCGCGGAAGCCGCGCCGCGGCTTCTCAATCAAACCGCCAATCGACGACGGACGACGCCGGCGCGCGACACGCGCGCCTGGAACCGTCGGCCGACCGTCCAGCGAACCGGATTGTGAAGGCGCGCTCTCTCGTCTTCCCGACACCGTCCGGTACACACCCGAACCACACACACGTTCCGTGTATTTTCGCTACCGGTTCACCATACATATATTAAATAAGCTCTTTTGTTTTTAATAATAAAGACTTAGTTTACACCACAGTGCGTCGTTTGTTTGTTTCTCTTTGTTAATACTTTGTCTACTATCCCGTCTGTTGTTTCGACCCGACTATCTCCGTCGGTCACCACCATCACCTCACAACACCACGCGGCTCAATAGAAGTCCGCGTCAACCTCATATCTTTCGAACCCATTTACATGGACCTACTATATTACTATCTTTATAGTATACAGAATAGAATGATTCAATAACTACTCGTATTCAAATTTTGTCATAATTTTCCGAAAAATTATCAGCTAAATAATTTACAGCACAAAAGGTGTGTTCTCAAAAAAACAAAAGTCAGAAAACATGGTCATAGGTATATGTATATTTAAAAATCCTAAAAATCGGAATAACTGCATTGTTGAAAAATGGACTGAGCACGATTGTCGTGAATCACCCTGTATGTATATAGTATACCTCGACGAGGTGAACTTCGCCGCAGTCGGACGCGTGCAAACAACGTCTAAATGGGTACGCATTTGTAAGTATATAGGTAATATATATAGTAATATTATATTATGTGTTATATGCGCAATATAACATTATCGGCCGATAAACGAAAACGGGTTTATTACGTTATTATATAAAATGTAGAATGAAAAATATGTAACTCGTCGCGTATACGATATAATAATAATTAATATGATACGAGTATATATTACAGGAGGCACGGTCAGGAATCTCGTTATATATTTTGACAGTGGATTATAGGATATAGGTAACTAATATAGTGATTCGAACTCCGATCTGCAAAATAAACGAAAAACCAAGAAAAATATACTACAGTGTGTATACCGTTTATGGGGAAATCGGTTATAAGGAAATATTGGTACTATAATTAGGTATTTACTTCCAAGGTCCTGGAACATCTCCAACATCAGTGGGGTAATTTGGATCACATTATTTTTGGTGTTGCAAACTAATATTCAATCTTCTTTTTGCCCTCCTTCGATGGCCTCAAACCTCTAATACAATAATATAGCGTTCGTCCAAATTGAATATAAATTTTCAATAAAATATGGCAAAACTAATAAATATCTTACCAACATCATATGAAAATTAGATTTAGATAATTGAGTCATTGTTTATTAGTTTATTACCATAATATGTTTAAAAATAAAGTTCAAGTTCAACGTAAACTAAAACTTTCAAACTTGAATATTTTTGGTATTGCATGTGTCACACTTGCATGTACCTATCAAACTTCTTTTTTATGTTGAAGTAATGGAGTGTCCCAAATGGACACCATAATATAACCACATCAAGGTATGCTGTTTTATCCGCTTTATACACGTGTAATACTGTAATATATAGTTCAAACCTCTCGAGTAGGTAGTTCATATTATTAATAATTATTGTAAAAACATTGACCATTTTTGAAATAATTATGGAAATTATTACAATAAATTATAATATGAATAAAATTATCTGTATTTGTCGAAAGGTTGTTTTAATATTTAAAAAATGTACGTAATAAAAATTCATTCTAAACAGGTAGGTTACTAAAAAATAAAACCACAATATTAATAAAAGCTTCTGACAAAATACAGATAATATTGATCTTTATAATTATTGTTATTATACCAACATATTATATGGAATTATGTTCATTTAAATAATGTAATCACGATGGGAAAATTTTTCTATAGTTTACGTGTGTGAGACAGAGATAACGTTTTTACTGCTAGAAGTTTATTACCTATTATTTTTTTATCAAATATCGGTAATATACTTATCATCGACATTCGTTTAATCATGTGTATACTGTATATAGGTACCTATTGAAATTGGATCAAGGTGTCATAAGGTGTCATAGGTGGAAATAGCCAATAGGTGTAATAAACAGTTTTAGTTTTAATGTATAGTTGTTTTGTACATAAATGATGTTGAACAAAATAAGATTACTAAAATTAGTAAGACTATCATATGTACTAGGTATACATGAACAACATTGAGTGTATGTACCTGAGTACCAATTCCATTTTTAATTGTACATCTTATCAATCTTATACCTCGAACCATGACTGATATTATCAATAAATTATCTTTAAAAATATATCAACGTATTATGTCATCCAAAATACTCCCCCTCCCCATCACCAGCTAGGTCTGCTAACTGCTATGCTGATTCGCCTATAATTTATACACAGTAGATTCGTCTTATTTCGAACCTCACGTTATCTCGAAAGAAAATCCCCTCGAAGCTACACTACCGTTATACGTACCTACAAATCTACAATAATAAAATCTATATTTCTAACTTTTCGATATCCCGAATTTTTTTCCGTTCCCCTGCGTGGGATTCAACATCGACGGTTTACTCTATGATATAATATTATTTATATTGCATTATGATGTAAGTCACATAATAACAGTAAGACGTTCGATTTTTATTGTACATAAATATATTATTTTACTGTCTAGTCGCGTACCTATATGACGTTTTTACTGTTATAATAGCCGGTACCTACCTACGTGTTTGATGCGCACTATACGTGCACGTCCAATATACGTGTATAATATAGCCATATAGGTACACGCCGAACCGATACACCTGCAACACGCGCGTTATCGCATTTTAAAAAGCACTGCAACGTATTATACGTAGGTATTGGAGTATTGGACGGCCGCGGTCGTTATACCTATCGATCACCTATAATACACGCGTGTGCGTTCGTTTTTTGACCTTGAGTTCAGCTGATTAGCATGCGCGCACGCATCGGCCCGGACTCGCGGAATCCGATGGTAATCTACGGTCGGCGATGCGTCTGCGTGTAAACAACGGCAACGTGTACACTCGAGCACTGCACCACTCAAACACCACGTAATTACCATAGTCGTGTAATATATTATATTTTGTCGTACGTGTAAGCAGCGCGTTTCGCGACCATGTTCCCGGCCGGCGTGTTGACCGTGAGACGCACCGCCGCCGTCGCCGCGGCCAGACCGCTTTGCAGGATCGTCGTGGCCGGCGTCCGTCACCGGTCCAGCGACGATCGGAAATGCGTGGTCGGGTCTACGCGCCGTCCACCGGAACCCAAACCGAAGCGGTCGTTCGTGCGCCTCAGCTGCGGTCGCAGTGCCACCGACTTCTCTGGCACCGTCGGTTATAGTACGCGCGCCGGCAAAAATATCGTACCGTTCGTGTTGGCCGACATCGGCGAGGGCATCAGCGAGGTGACCGTCAAGGAGTGGTACGTGAACGTGGGTGACGTGGTATCAGAATTCGACGACGTGTGCGAGGTGGAGAGCGACAAGGCGACCGTGACCATAACCAGCCGGTACTCGGGTGTCGTAACCAAGGTACACTACGAGACGGGCGCCACGGCCCGGGTGGGCAGCGCCCTAGTGGACATCGAGGTGGTCGAGGACGGCGAGACGGCGGCCGCGGAGCAAGTGGCGGATGGACCGGAAGTAGTGGCAGATAATGTGGAGGAAGTCACCGCCGCGTCGTCCGGAGAACCTGCGGGCGCGGACGCCGCCGGTGCAGGCGTAACGGCGCAGGTTCTAACCACTCCCGCGGTGCGCAGGATCGCCGCCGAAAAGGGCATCGATCTGACTACGGTCCGAGGTACCGGCAAACAAGGTCGTGTGCTCAAGGAGGACGTACTCGGGCCCGCCGACCAGTGGTCAGCCCCTGCCCCCTCCCCCACCGCCACAGCAGTCGGCAGTCGGCCGCCACTTTCGGCGCCGTTGCAGGACTTCGTACCGCTGACCGGTTACGCAAAGACCATGCGGAACACGATGGAGGCGTCCAACAAGATACCGACGTTGGTCATCACGGACGAGGTGAACCTGACTAGGTTGATAGAACTGAAGGAACAGCTAGCGCCACACATCAAGCTGACGCTGTTGCCGTTCCTGTTGAAGGCCACCTCGCTGGCGTTGGCCCGGCACCCACGTATCAACAGCACCGCCAGCCCCGACTTCGGGTCGTACAGGCCAAACGCGTCGCACAATATCGGCGTGGCCATCGACACCCCTCTCGGGCTTGCGGTACCCAACGTCAAGGACGTGCAGACGCTATCCGTGGTCGGCGTGGCCCGCCGGCTGGCCGAGCTCCGGGCCAAGGCCGCGGCTGGCAAGCTGGCGCCATCTGACGTGACGGGCGGCACCTTCACGCTGTCCAACATGGGCACGATCGCAGGGTCGGCGTTCCAGCCGATGATCCTGCCACCCGAGGTGGCCATCGGCGCGTTGGGCCGGATCAACTACCGGCCACGGTACGACGACCAACATCAACTGGTCCGAACGCCCGTCATGGGCGTGTCCTGGGGGGCCGACCATCGGATCCTGGACGGCGCCGCGGTGGCCAGGTTCTTCAAGGACTGGAAGACGTACGTGGAGAACCCGTCGTTAGTGTTGGCCGACGTTCAGCTGGATTCTGAAACGCCGCCGCAATCCTAATAACACGGTCGCGCAGTTAAACTCTTTTATAATATTATGATTTCTATTGAGTTTTTTTTAAATAAATAAATTACTATTGAATAAAATATGTAATAAACAAAGACCATGCACTTCAAATTGTAATATAATATGCACTTGAAAAGTTCAAAATATTAGTATTAGTAATATTAAGCACTATATTTTGTTTTCTCTCTCTGGCCCACGTGCAACATAACAATAAATCAATGTTTGGCTGAACCAACACTGTGTTTAATATTAGAGTGAATTCACTTAGTATCAAACTTTAAGCTAAAAACGTTACCTGTGTCCCTACGTTGGAATTTTTACGTTATTTTAATTTTTACAATTTATATGCATTTTTAAATTGTTATAATTTACGCACTCTCATAATTTACATAAAAATTAAAATACCATAAAATAGCCAACGTTGGGACACAGGAAATGTTCTGAACTTAAAGTTTGATAATATGTAAATTCACTCTAATATTAAAAGTACTAACACAGGTTGGTTCTGCTAAACGTAAATTTGCTAGTTTGCACGTGGGTCACAGAAGAGAAAACAAAAAGTGCGCTGACATAATCCTCTCATGTAAAAATAACGGTGAATGACCTACGGAAAACGGTACCTATACGATCTATTGTGAATTTTTATTATTTTTTAAATTTATCTACGTTTTGATTGCATTTAAAGCGTATAATGTGCAAATGAAACATACGCATCAATTCTATGACAAAATATGCGCTCGAACGCCAAAAATATGCAAAAATATGCTAAAAATGTTTTTGTCGTTTTCTTTAATCACGCTTATGATCGTTGAAAATCCATTAACTGCATTCATAATGAAACATTAAATGCAAATCCTGTCTCCAATAATAAGTCTTTGCGCAACAGTTGGCCGCGTGTGTGTCGTGTTTACACGTTTTTACCCACGTGGCCACGTATATATATGACACACAATATCGTATTGTCATAACATTGTGTTATGTGATATAGGTTCACTCGGAAGGATATAGAGGTTCTTGACCGTTTATATTATAATATTGTACCATTTTCAAACACACCTACCCAGCAAAAGTCGTGTTATTGTTACAAACACCGTTTAAGTGCAAGTGTGACAATAAGTGTAACGAGTTCAACAATCATTTCTTCCCGTGCGATTTCTAATGTGTCCCACGCACGAATCGTTAATTTATAATTATAATAATTATTATTGTCATTAGAGATGTGTGTGACGTGTGCTTGATAATCCGATTCGCCAACGCTCGCGAACACCGAAGAAAATACTATTTGATTTCGAAGTGTCGAAGCACATTTGCGTGATTTTCTATTCGGCCCATTCCCGATGGACGTGATATCGGGAAAAGAAGCTTTTGAGGGGTCGTAAAGCCCTTCATTATTAAAATTATTGCTTATAAAATTCCAAATATCTTACAAACATTTTATAATATAAAATGATCCTGTTTTTTTTTTTTTTTTAAATTTTTTATATGAGGTATTTATAAAATACCAGCTACCTCTAGTCCTTTTAACTATTATGATTTCAATTAAAACCATGAAATCAAATGATCTTGAAATACAAACTTAACTAATTAAAAATATTTAAATAATTTTACTTAATCATTAAATATCAATAAACTTTACCTCAGCACCCCCAACTTGAGGATTTAGAGTACGAAATTATGGAACATTTTGACTAAAAAAAACCCACACAAACAACGTCAGATTATCTCGTGCAGCACGGGGGTGGATGCTGGAGAAACATATTATCTGGGGCGTATATCCAGCACCGTTCCGATTTTTGTCTGGGGGGCGTAAACTAAAGGTGTACAAATTTGAAAAATGGTAATACATTAATATACGTCATTAGAGTTCATAAAAAAAAGGTGATGGTACATTGCAGGTTCCCTGTGGGGTGGAGTGGCGTAGGTACTTGAAATTTTTCAGATTGCTAGTTTATTATTTCACCCACCCTGCAGCACCAATAACTCAATAAAGGTATCCACTGTAGGTAATTTTTGTAACTAACTGTCGTAAGTAAAATAGATACTATATACTACCATATAGTTAATACTAAATTATAACTTATTGATCATTTCAGCATTGCCCCTTAAAAAACTCTAAGGGCCGTTATTGATGCTTATAAATAAGTACTACTTAAACAATACTTATGACTCAAATGCGAGTCTGATAAATAAACGAGACTTTGGAGTAAAGAAATAGTATTACTTGTTTTTAAGGTTGATCGAGACCTATCTTAAGCATTGCTTTTAGTTATTATCAGAATTGTTTTAATTAACAAAATTAGTTTAAGCAATACTAATTATTCTACCAACAAATTCTACCTTTCCCCTCTTACTGAAAACGGTTATAGTCAGTCGACGATTTCTTATTCATCATGATATAATTATATTATATATATAATAATACACCTAACCTAAACTAACCTAATTATATTATATAATATTATTATTTAATTTATTTAATTTTATAATTGTATCAATTATATCAATTCAATAACTATTAACTATTGGCTCTTAAAGAACTGCATTATAGGCCATCCCGATCGGAAAAGAATTTACTAAAATATGCATGCAACAGTTGCATTCTACAATATGTAGACTTTGTTGGCGTTTCTGGTTCTTTCTCGGGTCGTCGCTCGAGGTGGAAGTTTTCGTTGGCTATATTATAATATTATAAATTATAATTATGTCGCATGCGCGCGTCACTCGACGGCTATATCGTTTGGAGTTTGTTATGTTTTTAATAAATTCGATCTGTATAAAAAAAAAAAGGTTTATAATTATAAATCTTATACATAATATGACATCACGACAACTGAAACAATACCTACTCAATCGGTTGAATCATGATTTTATGGTTCTCGTCAAGGTCGTGATAATAATATTATCTCAGAGATGATCATTTGCTGTCGATCCGATAACTTGCAGCTACTGCGATGGCGTACGTGTGCCTATCTACCTATCGACGTCATTATATTTCATGTATTACAATAAATCTTGCACCGTCCGAAGATATATTATATATAAATTATAAACATATAGTATAAGTATAAGTATACTATATTTCTATAAGTTTAACTCAAAAAAGTATATGTATTTATATATGCTTTACATCAAAGGTGGGTGAGTTGATGTGAATTAGTAAAATAATTCAAAGTTAAGAAAGTTGTAAGTTGATAGTTATTGTATTAACTTATTGTATTATTTTTTTCAAATTAACTGACAAAGCTACACTATTACAACTGATAAATCTTTAATTCAACTATGCTTGAACTAAGTATTGGGTGTTGGAATAAATTATACTAAAAACTTTATCATATCGATTGCAGTAATTGTTATTTATATTTTTCGTCTGGTATGCGAGTTGTGATACCTGTATGAAGGTTCAAAAAAGGTGGGTAAGTGGATGTCACTCTGCTGTACAGTAGGTTTCAAGTGGGTCACTGTATAATGGATGGTATTACATTTGAATTCAATGATATAATATCAAACGATTCTGAGCGAAGACGGTCTGTCAGCCTATGATATTACTTAGTATATTTGATGATATTATTGTGAATAAAGTAATTTATATATAACCTATTTACGTGGAAATACGTTTTAAATTTTTAATCCTTAGCTATAATAGTTGAACATTTTATACATTTTTAACTAAAAATAATTATTACATTTTAAATTTGATACATTTTGTCAATATTTGAACTTTAAATGCTTATCAAAAAAATTGTGACTATGGATTTTTAATTTTTTCATCTGCCTTTGAAACAAAATACTAGGAGCCTTCTATTAAATTTTAAAGCTTTTTAACCAACAAATAAAATTTTATTGATATTTATAGAAAAAATAACTAAAAAAATGGAAACTGAAAATGTCCTTAAACAGCTCAAAACAAGTCAAAATATTTGGAAAATGTTAAGGTGTATAGAAAATGCTAATATAAACATTCAGTAAAAATTTCACTTACGTTAGGTCAGCGGTTCCCAAACTTTTTTAGCTCACGGCGCCTTTTTTGAACTAAACTTTTCTCAAGGCGCCCTTCCCAAGACATAGCATGAATTTATTTTTAGACCAGGTAAATTTCTACGGCAACGCGGCGCCCCTGAAAAGACATTGCGGCGCACCAGGGCGCCGCGGCGCACAGTTTGGGAACCACTGCGTTAGGTCATTTGTTTTAGAGTTGCACCAAAAACCAAAATCGATTTTCTCGAAAACAGATTTTGAGTAAAAATTCTCGTTTTTCCTTAATTTTTCTTTTGTTTTTCACGTCGCTTTTGAAAACTACTGGGAAATTACTTTTGATCCCCCAAAAAACCAACTAGATTCACTTTCCTATCAGAAAAGATAATGTTGAAGAAAATCTAAGCATTTTTACTGTTTCAAAAAGGTGATGACAGACACAAAAATTAAAAAATTACAAAAAATTAAAAACTAAAAAAAAAAACACATCATTATAAAATCAATACATTCATTAATCCGTTCAGAATATAAAATATCAGTAGAATGACAGACACATAAACAAATAGATAAAAAACTTGTCAAATATCATAAAAAATATTATGGTTTATTTAACTAAATCAGTTGTAGTCAATTTAACAAAAACGGTTTGTTAATTCAACGAATCTCAACAGTTGCGTTGGCAATTTATACCAGGAGTCCATGCAATAGAATTTCCTTGGCGCTAACTAAATCAGTTGTAGTAAATTCAACAAAAATTTCTTGTTAATTCAACTAAACCCAACAGTTGTGTTGACAATTTCACGTAAAACATTGGCAATTTATACCAGGAGTACATGCAATAGAATTGCCTTGGTGCAAACTAAATCAGTTGTAGTAAATTCAACAAAAATGGTTTGTTAATTCAACTAAACCCAACAGTTGCGTTGAGAATTTCACGTAAAACATTGGCAATTTATACCAGGAGTACATGCAAGAGAATTGCCTTGGTGCTAACTAAATAAAAAAAAAACACATCTCAGAAT